TTCTAATCTAGTGGTACGGGTCTGGGCTAGCTAGCATCCCACATTGTTATTTAATAATGCAAAAATTATAGTCTTAAGCTTAAGGTAATATAGAATTATACATAAAAGAGTTGAAAAATTTTCTGGGGTATATTGAACCGCATTCAAGCTGGACTTAAATATGATGTTTATAAGGATGCTCTCAATAGTTTTTTTTGCGATGCATTAAAATTAGAACTCAAAATCGAGTAGATTTGACTTCAAATGTGTCGATTTGAAGCTCTCATATACATAGGATCCATCCAGTCCTGTACAACATAAAGTAATGTTGCTTTCTCTGTACATGTTGATTTCGGGAATGGTTGATTGTAAACCTCATCATCCCTAGCCTGAATGTGGGGCTGCCATCCTATAGGCGAGGTTCTTTGGATAAGCTTTTAATCTATGGTCAGCTTAAGAGACTCTCTAATTTAGGATAGTTTAAGATGATATTTTCAAAACAGTTTTAATCGACTTGACTCGATTTCAAAGTCAAGCACAAACTAAGTATCCAATTTTGAAGCTGTAATTCGATTTGTGGAAAAGACTCTGATATTTAAAGTTAATCATGACTCAAATTTAGCAAAAATCAAGTAAAGAGCACTGCAATTCAAGTACATACTGCTTACAATAATAGTTGGACTACCTTTCAATCTTCTTTCTGAAAATGAATGGCATACTAAATGCCATCAGAAGAATATTTGACAGAATGAACATAAATAAATATTGAAAATCAAATGAATGAGAAATTTTTATGTAACATCATGCATACGTACATTTCATAAATATTTGCCTGAAGATTTGTAAATGATGCAAAGGAAAAAAAAATCAATATTGATGAAAAACACAAAAAAATTTGATGAAATAAAAAAGAAGAAAAAAAATATGAAAAGGAAAAAAAATTTGAAAAATAAACATGAAATAAGTTTTTATAGCATGAAAAGTTTGCACTTCTTTTTACAGTTTTCAAATGTTCATCAACATCATAAATTTCTGCTATTCATTTTTTGTTTTCGGTGTGCTCTCTCCGTCTCGCTCACTCGAGCTCTGTCGACCCCTTTACAGTTATGCAAAATGCACATCATATCACTTTATAGCTTGAAGGCTCTATTTTAAATTTTTATTATTTACAGTTTGCTGCTGCTACTGTTCTCCATTCTCATGCTGCTTGCTTTTATTATTTTAATAGGAAAAATTATTTTTTTTGCATACACAGGAAAATAATTTTAAAATTAAATGTCCAAACCATGCTGTGTGAATATGTGAGCTATTTATATATGGAAATTTTAAGTGCTACTGCTGTTGTTGAAATTTTACTGACACGAATGAGAGGATGAAGGGAGCGAGGCTTTATAATGAAAAATGAGCATTTATATTGGAGGAAAAATTGTAATTTAATTAATGAAAATTAAATGCATTTTCAGTGATTTTCAATTTTTAATAAGGTTATTCATAAATGATGTCCAACATATTTTTATTTGTTGATTTGGAAGAGGAAACTCTGATTCTATACTTTCTTTGAATAGTCTCGATGAAAAAACAACATGATGGGAGAAAAATTGCCCATCATGTTGTTTCCCCCCTTTGAGTAATTTCTGAATATACAACTTCCGACTGAGCTAGAATATTGATAAGTTAAATTCTATCTGCATAGACTAAGCTTCAAAATGACAGGTTTACCACAAGACTAAGGACAGTAAGGTTTATAACCGACTTAGTCCAGCTTTTTAACCATTTATAGAATGCCCCAATTTCTGACGAAAAAGATTTACATCCAATTCCCTTAATTAATCGCATTTAAAAACTTTTAAATGCTTAATCCTTTCGATTAAAAATCAACAGCTAGCAGTGCTTAAAAAAAATCTCACAAATCATATTTCTATAATTTTCTATTGCTTGCTTTAGAATGGTTTACCGCAATATTTTTTCAAGGTTAAAAGTTTATTCAATAATGTTATTTGCGGTTTTGAGGATATTGCTCGAATTTACCGCATAAAATGCAGATGAATGAAATATGCTCGCATTCATCTGCTTTCGGGCTACGAAAATAATTCACTTATGATGTAATTTAATGAGGATGAGTAAGGCAGTGTCGTTTTATGTCAACAGCAGTAAAATATGCGTGGAATTTTATTGACAAGAGTGAATTTCAATTTTTTTGCTATTTGCTGTTCGTGTGTGCGTGGGGTGACCATTGACTTTTCGCAAACTTTATGTAGGAATGAGCATTTTGTAAACTTTTTTTCAGAGCTGGTTCTTTTGATTTTTGTTGATGAAAATTGACAAGATATGCTTTGAAATCTGCAACCAGTAATAGCTTCTTAATTATGCATTATTAAGGTGTGCTGGATTTTTTTATGGCTGAGATTCGAACCTTCACGTTAGCCGTCGTTACAGCTTCTAGGCTTAAACTTAAGCAGATACTAATGAATAGTTGCAAAACATCCATAAATAAAGAGCTGAAACTCTCAAATCACAAATGTTCTATTTAAGAATCAAGAAATTCCGCATCAATTCAGCACTGCTAAGGTTAAAGTTATGCAATTATTTACCCATTTTACATGTATGCTCCAATAAATTTCCGATTAAATCACTTTGTAAATAAACTCAAGATACAACGACAAGAGATTGAATATTTGCCATAAATTACGTAAATGATATTTAGAAGCAATAAGTTATGAAAATATGCGAACATGATAATTGTCACGTAATTTTCTTATGAACTATGACTGCTGAAGTTTCACCTGCAAAATCATAAATAATTCAATTAAATTCAATAGAATACAGTTGTGACTTTACATCAGGTAGCATCGCTTTTTAGGTGGGAAGGAATTGGGGAATATGATGTGGGGATTTTGCACCCAACGCGCTTAGCTTTCCAGAGTACATTAGCATAAGTCACAAACTTTATTTATCCTTCATAGAGCTCCAGAGTATTTTACATTGCCTTTATAAGCAGACATTTGATGCAACATAATAAGTGAACGACCTTAAACACAACATTAAGCATCTATCGAACCATGCACCCTTTAAATCATGTCAAGCATCTCTTTTACATCCATAATCTAAGTATAATTGATTTTGACTCTAATTATTAAGGAATTTAAGTTCCTTAATAGCTTCATCAGTTTTAATTTAATTAATTTATGAAAATTGTTAATTAAATCTAATCTTATTGAAGAAGCATTAAAGTCAATTACATCATCGAGTAAGAATTCATTAGGTCAAATGTTAATCTCACAAAAACTTATTTACTGCTGAAAGCCATAGCGACAGAATCAAAGTAGCTCAATCTGACATGTACATATGTGGATATAATTTTACATGTTGACAGCAAAATTGAAATCAGAAGGTCAAAAAACATTTTTTTTTGTGAACATGTTGTGCCGTGTCATCTGTCAATTGATGGTAAAATTGTTAGAATTTCGTGTGATAACAAGTCGGAGATTTATGAGAATTTGAAATCACAACATGATTTGATTAAAAACCTCGTGCCATCATCGGTATTTGTACATGAATCTGGCTGCATAAATATTTTTTTTTTATTATATTTGCTACGCGAAATTCAACAGCTCTTGAATACACGCCACTTTTGACAATGTGCGCCTATAGACATATTATTATTATCATTTGCATGCATGTGCCTCTCTCATTTCCCAACTACGAATGAATGTATGGATGTATTTTATTGTATTTCATATTATTTTGTTCTGCTGCTCAAGTATTGTTATCAACTCTTCGCTCAATTCCGTTCATAATAGAGTTCGCATTCATTATTATCGCTATCAATGAGTTTGAATGATAAACAGAACTGCCAGATATTCAGTTATTTTATATTTTATTTTTTTTTTTGGGGGGACGAGAGAATGTGTGGAGTTATGATATTTGTACAAATGTCGACTTTCAATCGTTCTTCTCTCATCTTTTTCCACAAAGTGAATTTGTATGTACTGGATGTGTGTATGTTAACATGCATCATTCGCTCCTCTCTTGCTTGTTTGCTTACTTCAGCACAAATTATTTTATTTTTCTGTTCACACCGTTTGAATACGCTGACATGGCTTTATATTTATAACTACATAACGCTAGACTCAATGGGTAGCTATGGGAGCCTTCCGACTTTGAGACTGCTTTTGAAACTAATTTTTGATCAAGGCTGAATTTGACATGGTTTACCTTAGAATAATTTGATACAGTGGATGAGGTTTAGGTTTCGAATTTGCTAACCTTAAAAAAGTCAAAATCACCCTAAAGATTGCAAAACTAATCAAAAATGATCGATTTTCAGTTAAACAGTTTACCACTCTTGTACAGCTTTGAATTCTGGCTGCACTACTGCTTATAAATTTACTATAACAGTTACCACCTCCGATAGTTATCATGCATTTTAATGTTGCTAATTAATATTCAAAATAAGCAGTAACTGCTGACAATGTATGGTTGAAGAATCTATTCATTATGTCCAAATTTATATTGAATTGTGCTTGCTTCTACAGAATTCTTTGTGGCTTACTATAAATGAAAGGTAGTTCTTATTAAAAAAGCGATGCAAAAGAGATCAGGAAGTGCCCCATTTATGGATGCAACTCAATCTAATAGCATTCAGTAGTACTTGTGGGTCATTCAGATGCGTAGCCAGGGCAAAGAATGGGGTTCACATCTTAAGAATTAGTGGAAACTTTGGTAATCTCTCATGGCATTATGTGCCGCAACAGAATTTGACAGTAATAATCCAATCCTGCAAAGCTTAATACCACGGTGTGAATATAGCTCCACGCGACCCAAACTAGTTCTTTTTTTCATTTTAAAATGTTTTTTTAATTTTTTTTCTCCACTTTTCCAGCAATCGAGTTGTTTTTGTCTTTTCGTTGCTTGCGAGTCTCTCAGAGAATTTTACTGTATGGATTAAAATACATTTGTTGACAAAGGTAAATATGAAGTGAGAAAAAATAATAACAACATCAACAGCAAACATTTTAAAGCCGGTCTCAAAATAAAAACTAATAATCAAAACTCTTTTGTGTATTGCTGTTGCTGAGCTGTGTATTTGTTCTCTCTTACTTAATTGCACAGTCGATTTTCTTCTTTTTTTATGAATTTAGAATATAGAGAGTTGGAAAGATTAATTCGAAGGTCAGTTTGTGCTCAGCATTTGATTGGAAATCATCTAAAGTATGGCGTGTAAAGGTACAAAAAAAAAGGAACAAATGAAAAAATAATTCAAAGGGATTAAAAAATTCAATAAATTTAGGTAAGCGATGTGGAAAAGGTCCAGGATATCCAACACCGATGTGGGCGTATCAGAATGGTCCAAGGGAGAAGCTTCTTTACGTAACAACAATCCAACCAAATTTAGAGAATGAGCAGGGAGATTATTTATCCGCAGTTGACGTCGATCCAGAGAGTGAAACGTACAGTCAAGTAATTCATCGTGAATATGCTGGCAAAAGTGGTCAAGAATTTCATCATATTGGTTGGAATACATGCTCAAGTTGCTTTTTCGTTGATTCCAACTGCACCGACGTACCAGTGAGGGATAAACTAGTGCTTCCATGTCTCATTTCTGATTCAGTGTAAGTACTCAACACAACAACATGAAAAAATAGAAAATAATTCTCAAATTCTCTAGGATCATATTTTGTTCTCTCATTCCACTACCAACACCCTTCATTTCTCTTTCTTTTCATGTGCTCTAATGCGAAATACTGCAATGACAATGATAATAACAATGATTTTTCATATGCTCATTATAATGTCACGTCCTTATTCGCTCTATTTCTCATAACACAACAACAGTACACATATCTATTGATATACATGTGTATTAGGGTTCGTTCACTAGTGACGTCAGTCATTTAGACTCTTATACTATAATCAGACACATAAGGCGAAGTTGACTTGGATTTTGAAAGAAGTCGAGTCATATTCCCTTCCTCGAGCTCCTTCCCTTTCTATGTCTATCACTAAAACTAAAGACCTACTTCATACTTTGTTATGAGCCCGCCTCCCCCTCAATAATTATTGACTATCACTGGTGAACGAACGCCACACTCACATCCACATTTTGTTTTGTACAAGCAGTTATATCTTCGATGTTGGACAAGATCCAAAGCATCCAAAATTACATAAGATTATCGATGGTGAAGTTTTGCGAAAGAATAATTGTTCTGCACCACATACGTCTCACTGCCTTCCATCTGGCAACGTTATGATATCGACGATGGGAGATAAGGATGGTAATTCCAAAGGAGATTTCATATTGCTTGATGGCACAACGTTTGAATTTACTGGAACATGGACTGTTGGTGAGACAGCATTATGCGGGTATGATTATTGGTACCAGCCGTATTTCAATCTAATGTGCTCAAGTGAATGGGGTGCCCCAAATCTCTGGAGACGTGGCTTTAATCCCGACGATATAAAATCCGATAGAGATTATGGAAGACGTATAAATGTTTATGCATGGAACGAGAGGAAATTAATCGATACTATACATTTAGGAGATGAAGGTGAGATGAAGGAAGGAAATTTACTTCCTTAACTTTTCTTTCTGCTTTGTTTTCTGTTGATAAAGTTTTTCGATTATAAATTATACAGCACATACACACACACATGTTTATTCTATATATATTTACAGGAATTGCTCCATTGGAAATACGCTTCATGCATGATCCCAAACGATGCGAGGGTTTCGTTGGCACAGCACTTTTTGCAAAAGTTTTCCGTTTCTATAAGAAAAATCCATCGGATGAGAAATTTACGGTTGAGAAAGTTATTGATGTGCCAGCTAAGAAAGTTGATGGATGGGTTTTGCCTGAAATGAATGGATTGATGACAGACATCATCTTGTCTCTTGACGATCGCTTTATTTATTTTAGCAACTGGTTCCATGGTGATGTAAGGCAATATGATATCAGTGATCCAGCAAATCCAAAACTTGTAGGACAAGTTTTTCTCGGTGGCTTAATATTGAATGACTCGGGTGTAAAAGTTCTCGAAGACACAGAATTGACAGAACAGCCATCGCCAGTTGAAATTAAAGGAAGAAGATTGTACGGTGGTCCACAAATGTTGCAATTGAGTTTAGATGGAAAGAGATTGTATGTCAGTTCATCCTTATTCTCTCCATGGGATAAACAATTTTATCCTGACATGGTCAAGAATGGAGGAACGATTGTCCAACTTGATGTTGATACTGAAAATGGTGGAATGAAGATTAATGAAAATTTCCTTGTTGATTTTGGAAAGGAACCAAATGGACCAAGTCTACCTCATGAAATGCGCTATCCTGGAGGAGATTGTTCGTCTGACATTTGGTTAGTCGAGGAAGATGAATAAAAATGATCAGCAGTTACTTAAGTTTTGTACTTTATTTTTTATACCTTCATCTTCTGTCCAATAAAATTACAATTTTTGTAAAATATAATTTAAATTTTCTCAATCTTAACAATTTTGTTTGCATGTCTCCTTGGATGATGTTCATTCCTTACAGCATTACATTATCATTTCACTTAGCTAAGCAAAGCAGAAGAAAATTGTAATCTTTCGATGGGTGACAAAAGGAAATTTTCTACTTCACAAAATTTTCCGTATCATGAACATAAAGTAAATAAATATATATGGAGACTTAAATTTTTATATTCATCCAAGTACAACAGGCAGAATAGAAAGGATATATTCTCAAAACGACAGGCACAAAATTTTTCATTTTTTTGACATTTTCTTTGTTCTTACAATTTAAATTTATATAATATTTATTTTTTATCATTATTACAAGTATAAAGTAAAGGGAAATTTGAACTAATCTTTTAGGTATATTAAGGATAGATTTTACTTATTGTTCAGTAGTTTTTTGGTGTGCGAGTGAGTGGCTTCATGATGATGATGATATAAAATAATCAGCTTAACATAACTAAACATTAAATACATATAATAAAATATTATTGGGATCAGAGTTGAAATCTTGGGTATTGTCTTGTCATGAGAGTGCTAAGGCTTAGTTTGAGTATGGGATAGGTCAGTGTTTCTCAACCTAATTGTCATTTTTAAAAGTTAATGACATTGTAGAATTTCTTAAAACTTTGTTTAGACTCAGTTTTAATGGTGAGTGCCGCGGCACACAGTTTGAGAACCACTGGGATAGATAGAGTGAAATTAACTGTACCAAACTTCAATTTGGTTCAGAATTTGTGAGTTTATCTAACCTAATGAGAATTTATGGTAGAAAAGTTGTTAACCCAACTAGCAATGAGCATGTTAAGTTTTCCTATAGTAAGTTCTAGAGTCTAGACTTACAATATTGAACCTTTTGGCATGACCAATGCCAGATCAAGTTATAAGGATGGATACAAATATAATACTTAATTATTTCAAAGTATGTTTTGTAGTTTTAGAGTATGTAATTGGACGATTTAGCCTTAATATAGTTAAAAGAACCTTGGAGTAGAACCAAATTAATTTATTTGAATCTTCAGGTACAACTCTAGATGATCTTATCTTAATATATGATTTCAGGATCTAACCCAAAGTATGATGTAGTACTTTAATAGACCCCAAAAGGTAAACCCTAAAATATATCATAAAGCTCTAGAGTCTAGACTTTAGGTCAGTTCATGGTTCATAGCCAGATTCCCCAAAATAAACTTAAACTTATCTCCAAAACACAATCCCATGCTACCAACTCTGACAGGGATATAAAGTATTACTTTATTTTATTCTGGTCCTAACTTAATGTTTTATATCTATCATGTATGGTTTCTATGGAGAAAGAGATTACATAAGTAGCATTAGAATACAGAGAAAGCTTATACTTTTGTTTCTTTTTTTGGTTTTATCATGCCTCTACAGGTTGTCATGTTGTTAAATATAAATGATGTATAATAATGTTAAAAATGGTAATAATTCTTATGATTAATGATTGTCGTCATTTTGATCTCAAAATAAAGGAGTAACTTTTACTTAAAATTATTCAGCTAGCTTCTTATTCAAAATGATCGGGACCGATACAGTTTCCAATTGACGGACATTTAAAGATATCTTTAGTGCAATTTAATTTTCCACATTTTGATTTCTTCACCTTCTTGGGCTCTTCTGCAGCATTCTCTTTTGGTTTTTCATCCTCAGCAGGCTTCTCATCAGCATTTTTGTCTGTCTCATCAGCATTCTCAACTTTAGGTGTTTCCAAAAGCTGTAATTCTTCTTCCTTTCCAATCTTCGCTTCAACATCATCCTCGACAACTGGGGCGGGCTCTTGTGCCTTCAATTCTAAGTATAGCTCAATGATGACGATGAAGAAGTAAACATGTAGAGCAATATATACGATGAGTGCGATCAAGAAAATCAGGTACATTGATTCCAAAATAGCACAATGAAGGAATGGCTTGCCTGAGGTACAACGTAAATAAATCGTATATGCTGTCAAGGCAATGATGCTTAAAATGGCAATTGGTTGATAAATGAGCCACCATAAAACACGCTTTCGGTTCGCCTACAGTAGATTATATCCATAGTCAAATGAAAAAGGGAGAGAAGATGAAGAAAAAATTAAATGAAAGAATTTAATCAATTTGATCCATGATCATTAAAGTGGAAGTCTCTCTTCGATTCACTAATAAGCTAAGTTATGCGTTAAACTCATTAGTCATTAAATGAATAAAGAAGAGATGAACTGAAGGTCAAATATGCAGTTGAACTTACACATAGTGATCCGCATACTAACAGAAGTGATGCAATAACGCCATAGAACGATGCAACCAACGCGAACAGCACAATCGGAAATGCGATTGATGATGTATTGATTTCATTGATATATGAACCGAAATACTGACGCCTATCCTCTGATGGCGGTAAATTGAATAGTAACACAAGCTCAACATCCAAAATTAGATACACAAAGTTGGCTAAAGCTGAGAGATATCCAATAGTAACTCCACCAGTTTTCAAATCTGAACAACTGAAAAATGTCTTGATGCGCGCCATTTTTAAACTGTTTATGTTTTATACGTTATTATATCTAAAATATATTTTAAGCACACGCGAGAATAATAAGCGCCTAGCTCTATGAACACACTGTACACAAAAAAAAGAGTCTTTTTTTTCTAACTTAATTAAAATTCTAAGATCGTATGCCTGTGGCTGTACATAGAATCTTAAATAATAATAATTTTTTATGTATTATTTTCTTCAGAAAATTATCCAAACACAAAAAAATAAGAGTAGCTTCTCTAAAATGTCACGCTTCACATCCAATCTCGAAGTCAAAAACACAACTGAACTCTTAGCGTTCCGAATTTTTTCTAACTGACTGTTAACACATTAAATAATGAAACAACAACAACAATGTTTTCTCTGTGACGGTTACAAAACATTAATGGTTCAGTGGAAAACATAAAGAGGGGAGTGTTCTTGTGTTAGGTAATTAAATTCTCTTTTTCTCGGACGAGCAATTAAGTCGTAGGTAGAAATTACTTTCTGATTTTTTCTAGATTCTTTAGATTGTTAATTAATGCAGATTTAATCACGTGTGTTTGTAATGTTTTTACATGAAATAGTATTTTTTGAAAAACGCTGAAAAATGATGGATTATTTACATTTGCAGCTGAATTTGAGCTTAATAGCGCTTTGTTAAAGCTTAATAGCTGAATTGAAGCTGATAGGCGCTGAATTGAAGCTGAATAGCGTTTACTGAAGTTGAAATAGAGCTGAATTGAAGCTGAATAGAGCTGAATAGCGTTTAACTGAAGTTGAAATAGAGCTGAATTAAAGCTGAATAGAGCTGAATAACGTTTAACTGAAGTTGAAATAGAGCTAAATTAAAGCTGAATAGAGCTGAATAGCGTTTAACTGAAGTTGAAATAGAGCTGAATTGAAGCTGAATAGAGCTGAATAGCGTTTAACTGAATTTGAAATAGAGCTGAACTGAAGCTGAATAGAGCTGAATAGCGTTTAACTAAAGTTGAAATAGAGCAGAATTGAAGCTGAATAGAGCTGAATAGCGTTTAACTGAAGTTGATATAAAGCAGAATTGAAGCTGAATAGAGCTGAAAAGCGTTTAACTGAAGTTGAAATAGAGCTGAATTGAAGCTGAATATTGCTGAATTGTTCAAACTCAAACAGCTGAATAAACTGAATGTTGTTTTTCATAACCGTGTTAGTATTTTAACGGCTTCCGATGTTTCATAGCCATAGCAATAAAGTTCGTATAAACACATCGTATGGACAAAAAATAATAAAATTTTCCTAATCAAGTCTGCGACATGTCATTTGTGACCTAATCATCACATCAAGCCACATTAAAGTTTTACTGGAAAAAAGCAGATGTTGTTGTTGTTGCATCCTAACAATAATGTGCATTTTGTGCTATATGGTAGATGTGCATTGCATAGAACTATAAGAGTTTATACACATATGTGTGTATATGTAAGACCTTCAAGTCATTACTTAACATGTATTGTAGAATAAAAATTTAAAAAAAAGGGATGCTATGTTCTATTTTATGCTTGTGCGTGATATTTGAGAATTCAAGTTCTTTCTTTCTTTTTTATTTCTTCTTCTTCTTCCTTCATTGCTTATGATATTGTGTACAGCACAAGAACAAGCAGTATAGAAAGGAAAGACATACATATGCTTGTGTTTGTTAGAATAATCCCTTAAAAATAGTAAAAGCAATGATGAAATATGAAAAATATGTGACCGACTCTTGATTCCGTATGCATCAAATTCCTCTACACACATTTTTTACGATTTTGCCCTTTTAACATCAACAAAAAAAAAATTATTATTAGCTCTAGATGCTGACGATGATGATGTTTGTGATACGATTTTGATGAGAAATAAAAGAATTCCTAATGTCCATGAAATTTTTGTTTCTCATTCAGCTCAGAAAAATTAAAATAAAACAGAATTAAATAGCGCTGCCGTAAAGACTTCTTATGCTGCTCATTCTTTACAATTCCCTCTTTTCTTTTTATTTTCCATTCAATGGATATACACAAAATTGTATTGTAAACATAGAGTAGAATAGAATTGGGTGTATCAATCGCGGCACCAACATCAGAATGAGAATTTTAGTTAATATAAATACATGCATGTACATTATAAGATGGTTACATGCAGTTTGTGAGGTTGAATATAAAATCGGATTTCACACGGGTCTATGTAGTCTCAATGGATGAAGAATAGCTGCGCAAATCTACAATTGTAAAGGCCTGAGTCTATATCTAGTTCTGAATAAAAAGAGCAAGCATACTGTTTTTGTGCATTGATGCATTACAAGCCGCGCTGTTGTTTGCCGGCATATACACATTCAAAAAACGAAGTGGATATATACATGAGCAGCAGTAAATAAATTAATGCTCGATGTCAAGCGTGACATTTTTTACGAATGCAACACTTTGGTGCTCATCATCATCGTCGCTACACTGACCCGTGTTGCTATCAATGATAAAATTATTGTTGTCCTCAGCATTCGATGCTTGAATCGTACCCTTAATCATTTGCATGTAGAAGAAAAGGACGCGCTTCCAAAAATAAAGCAACACAGGCAAAAATGTGATAAACGTGACCCAATAAATTCCAGTCGAAAGATCATAAAACGTTTTATGCTCCATCGAGCTATAGACATATTTCTTGTCGTCTCGCACTTTAATGAGTATGTAAGCGATTACGAATGATGACGCCAGAAAGAACCCTTGATAAATGAGCCAAGTCAGTACTGCTTTCGATTGACACTGGATGAAATGAATAAAAAAAATGAAATGAGATTTTTTTTTGTGGAACCAAAAGTCTCATTGCATGCTACATGTTTAGAATTAACCGCACATACATACTTTTTCTTCCAACATTCATCTCATTTCTCATCATGAATGTCTTATATTTCTACTTGTTGGTGAATAAGATATATGTGCTCTGGTTCTTTCTTATTACATCCAGTATGGAATTCAATTTCAAAGCGTAATATGCTCATGTCGTGAATTATAGACAAGGGTGAATGTACCTATTTTTAGGTACCCATCATTAAATTTCTATGCTCACTTACCTTCTTGGCACCGGATATAAGAAGAACTGAACATATTATGCCGAAAATGAAAATGACTAAAGCGTAAATGATGATTGTGAAATAAAATACTGAAAATAGAAGTGAAAAATTAAACAAGTATTAAGTAAAATGTGTCTCTCACTCTTTTTTATTTCTTTTGGGGTCGTTCATAAATGACATCTTTTAAAAAATTGAATTTTTGGACTCTCTTTAATCATTGTCTTTAGAAAGAGAGTTTCAAGTTTCATCAGAATCCTTCTTTCCCCCTAAAAAGGTTAAACATCATTTATGAATGACCCCAAATTCAAATTATGTGTCGCTCCTTTTCACTTCTAAATGAGAACCGTCTTCTTTTTAATATTTTTTTCCCTCAATTTATTCTCATTTTTCGGAAACTTGATTTAAAGTTCATTAAAGAAAAGTTAAAAAGAATGGAACGAAGGTCTTATGTACGTATTTTTCGAGAAAAGGTATGGCAAGTTTGTCACAATCTTTTACATGACATGAAGAAATATTGAGGAATTGTAGCATGAACCTCTTCATTTTCACAAAATCATTAGATGTGAAATAAACATTATGGTGCTAAGATTGAGAAAAATATTCAAATTTATGGAATGGGATTACAGAGTTGAATGCTACGATAAAGCTTCATATGCCAGATAATCTATGGATTGTGTAGAATCAAATAGCTGAATTAAAACCACGATTGAAGAAGTAGTCGCTGAGTCAGATGAATAGTGCTGAATTAGCTACATCATGCTGAATCAACTGAACATTGCTGAATTAGCTGAATAGTGCTGAATTTGCTGAATTGTATTAAATCACTTAATAGTTCAAGTCATTTCTGAAGCGCTGAATAGTTGCTGAATTAGCTGAATTAGCCTATTTTGCATAAAAAATTGTTTCTGTAAAGATGTGTTCCTGATGAACGTGAACTTTGACCTAGATTCATCCTACACTTTTCCTCAAAACCAAACCAATACTCAAAACCCATCCATGCCTCCAAAAAGATACATTTAATGCTAAACATGAGCTAATTTAGCGAAATTTCATGGGAATTATGAAAATAGAGCAGGTATGATGATTAACAATTGTTACCACATAACCACGCAGAATTTTGTGTATTCATCATGTTCTCGACATATGTACAGCACATTCAATACAATCAAAGTTATCAAAACTTTATCAACTGCTGATGTTAAGTATCAATTACCTGAAAATTAATTTAATGATTTTCAGAACTGATTTTAAAAAGTGTTTAACGAGGCGTGGAAAATTATTTATTCTTTCAAGGAAATTACCTACTTGAAACTTTTGGAACTTTATAGGCAGTCTAGTTCAAGTCGCGACACAAAAGTGAGCATTATTTTCAAATTAAGACCATAAAAATTGTGATAGACGTACCTTTCAGCTCATTAATTGCCTGAATCGAGGGGAATTCTTGTTCATCCTCTTCATTATAATGCTTCTTATAGTTCCTAACATTACCAATATGTGTCTTTAGACATTTTAAAATTAGCATACAAAAATACATAATTGCCAATTGGATTGTTTCGGTAATGATCGAAATTGTTGTTATGCCAGTTCTCCAATTGAAGCACATACAATTGCATTTCGTATGGATTTCATGTAGCAATCGAGACATGATCGTTTATGTCAATTAAGAATTTAATTAAATGATGTGAAGATAATTAATTAATTAATTTGTATAGCATTCCATGTTTTTATTTTATTTTATGTTCATATGCTGACTCTCTTCCTTCTTTTCTCTTTATTTTATATTTTTATTCTTGCTGTAGATTTAATTTCACTAGCTAACATATGAAACTTCTGTTACGGTCACTTTCATATTATTAAATTTTATGTGAATGTCGGCATTGCTATGAAAAATGAAAAATATACTGAATGGAATTCCTCAACTGCTGCAATAATACCAGAAGAAGAAATGACTTTTGTACACATAGACATACATGAACAGAAAAAAATATGATAAATAAAGTCAAATAAGCAAGCGTGGCATTCGTAAATGGTGTCAAAATAGGAAAGAGTGTTTGGGGGGGGGGGGGTGGGTATGAAAATTAGTTTTTGATGGTACCTCCCCCACCAATTTGAACAGTTGAGGAGCTAGTGGTCTTCTGGTTCTCCTATCTTAATTTGACATAGTCTAGCTAGATATATTTTTCAGTATGTAACAAATATCCAAAGAAACCTTAGAAACAGGTTCCTTACTCTCCTGTTAACTGAAGATAGAACCCCCAAAAATTTTAAAAATTCCAAAATAAAACATCATTTACGAACAACCCTAAAGCAAAAAATGTTTTATTTTATTTTATTTTTTTTTTCAATTGTGTGTCTCCGGACTGTCTTTATTTGGCAAAGCCAAAAAAAAAATCTTCTAACAAAACAAGAATAAAAGAACAAATATTAAGTTCATTAACATGATAATTTATGACTGTAATTGAAATAATAAAAAAATATTCTCATATAATATTTTTTAAAGAACTGAAGGTCGCATGGGTGACGTCATCTGCTTGCACGTTGGCTGATGTTCTAGTTGATTCTATTTGAATTACAAATTAATGCTTATGTAAAGTCACAAGAATTTTGTTGAATCTCTAATTTATGTCCACATGCTGGCAATTTTCATCAAAAATAAAATATTTTTTGTCATGATGGTTCCAAACGGAATCAGCTATAAATTGAATTGATCTCGTCAATTACAACTTGAAATGTATAATTGGATTCAGTTGGCTTATCAATCTTTCGTATCCAATTATCAAATGATTCCGATGCATTACATTCAGTCTGATTCAACATAATGTCATGTAAATTGTGCTGAGCATTCAAATGTTGTTGAAGATGTGAGCTGATGACTTTTATTGACGCAAGAAATGTTAAATTTATGAGAAGTAAGCATCCATAAACCACAATGAATTCCAACCCTTTTCGATAAAATAAATATTGATGAATGAATATTGAAAGTGCTATAAAATCTGTAAGTGCCGATAGAATGCAATCGTACTGGAAATACGATAATTTTGATGGTTTCTTCTGTGAATGGAGAAAATAAAAAATTCATCATTGAGATACTCAGTTGGATATGACTTAAAAGTGTTTGATATTTTCCAGACATAAAATTTTACTGACCTTCCTCAATCCCTCAAATATCTTCACTGATGCATACGTCGACCATAAAATGTAAAACTCGATAAATTTCAAGCCAATTCTATAGAACATTGCATATGTATATTGTGGATTCAAAAGTGACCACAGAATCATTAGAAATGCAATCCAAATTGAATTCCTTAATATTGACATGAAGCCACAAAACTTTACGAACTTTTCAAATGAACACATTTTTCCACAAATCACTTGCTATATTCACTGAGAATTCTTAGACTCAAACTAAAAGCAAAACGAGATCCTGGAGCATACTTATATATGCCAAAATCTTATCATGATGAAAGATGAGGAATAGGTGAGAATAGTTGATGAAGATAACATGAGATATGTTCGACATGTTGTCAAGTCATTTGTACAAAACACAAAGGATGGATATACTTTTATGATAAGATGTACACGCCTGATATGGAACTAAATTTTTTATGCTTCATTGCTCCTTGAGTCATCAACACAACATTAAGTGAGTAATCTTCATAGAAAATAATGTTGTGAATAATTTAGGATGTATTTCAGCACAACTTCAATCACGAATTAGTTTTTTCCTAGCTTATCTACGTCTTATCTACTTTTTCGAGGTTAAAAAATTGAAGTTTTGAAATTTTAATTTTAAGCATTTGGAGGATTTTGGACATCCAGATACAATTTAATCGATAACGTTTACAATTATTGAAGCATTTAAGCTGTTCAAATAACGTAAATTAATCTAAATATGGCAAAATTACTTCTTTGTTTACAAAAACATTCAGTTGACAATCCCCTAAAGTATTCAGTGGAATGTTTAAACATGAGTAAATACTCAAAATATTCAAAAAACTGAAATTTAAGATTTCAACTCTTATTCCTGCTCGTGCCAATATTCACAAAGAAGAATAATATTTATCATGCCTTAAACTCTTTATTTTTCCAAATTCAATTGGAATCAGCAATGTGGCGAAAATCTCACGCCTATAAATTTATTTTCGATACATTTTTCAGGGCATTTAAACGCTTTTGGTCATGAAATGAATGAAAGAATTTGAATGGAAATGAAAATTATTTTGAGATAGAAACAAAATTAATTTTGGCAGAAAAATCTTCAATTTTGCTTGGAGAGGTTTTTCGGAATTGCTTATTTAGATGTCCATGATTTTTTTTTCTCTTTCGTTATGCTTTAGATCACTTAAAATAACATATTTCAAGTGGATGTATTTATAGCAAAACAGTCGTTCTTAGTGGCATTCTATGAAGATATTTAGCAGGCCTTTGTTGCTCAAATGTGTGTCATTGACAAGATATAAATGAGTCTATAAGTATGAGCTGAGAGGAAATGGAATTTTCTGATATTGTGAAATTATGAAGTGTCTTTTTTCTGGTCCATAATTGAAGTATTAACTTGAATCCAGTCAATTTATAAATTTCTTGTATCAATATCCTTCGACTAATACCTAAGCTACTGCTAACAAAGCGAAAACAATTCATCCAGCACGTACAGCATAAAACTGAAAACATTTTAAACACACGTCTTAAATAAAAGGGACCAAAAAAGTTTTATAGACTCTGATCTACAGCTAAGGATGGTAAACCAATTAAGGTTTAAGTTACAAAACAATTCGGAAGTTTTATAACTATTTATGACTAAACCACCTTTGTCACATCAAAGTTTTTTTTTTTGTTGAAGAAGTAAGGATCCAATAGCCTCAAATAAACTAATTATTCTATTTGTTTTGAGGAGTTAATGCTTTTATGCGGAACATTTGGCTAGCATTTGGAATGATTTGAGTGATTTGCCAATTTTTAAAGTGGATCAGAAATGGATGTAGAGTTTCTATTGGCCTTAGCAAATGGAATAAATTAAAGCCACAGTCGAGAACTCTAAGTCGAGATCAGATGCTGAAGTTTTAGGATCCAGTGACACTTAAATGTGATTTAACCAGGATCAGTACCTATTTTGCTAATATTTCCAAAAAAAAAAAAAAATCAAAAAACATTCATTCGACATCTAAGACATTTATTACTGTGCCTTAATCAAAATAAAATTTGTACAAAAAAATAGTAAAAAATTCAATTCCATTTTTAAACCCGTATTATGAAAATTTTCCCATTATCTTTCATATCCCGTTTGCTTAGAGTTATAGGTATCATTTGTATGGAATTAGAGCGTCTAGGTGCAAGCTCGTTGCTGCTACTTGCATTATTATTGTTATTATTATCATCACCGTTATTATTGTTATTGCTATCACCTTGAAAGTTCTCATTTAAAATTCCTGCTGTGCTATCAACAAAAATTGCACCACTGCTGTCCTTTCTCCTCTTTTTCTCCCGCTTCAAATATGTATGCAGCGATAAGACACTAATCCAGAAATAAATTAGCAGTGCTACAAAAGTTAAATAAATTACGACAAATGCAATGATGAGAATTTTAAAGAAGAAATTTTTAAAGTAAGAAATTAATCCGTAGCGTTCATCTTTAATTGTGACAAATATGACGACAATTCCAGCACTGATGATGATGAAGAGAATTTGATAAGTCAGCCACCAAGACAGATAGCCAGGTTTTCTCTGGAATAATAATAATAATAAAAAGCAAATTAAGATTTTTTTTACTCTACTCGAGGGGGGTGGGTACATGGTGGAAAAATTTGAGATTTTTAAATTTGATTTTTAATAAAATTAAGATCAAGTGTTGACTTTTGAATAGTTTGAAGTGTAAGTACCTCATTCCTCGAAGTAATGAACTAGATCTGAACTAGTATAGCTTGTATTAAAATTTAAACTAAGGGTCAAGGTTAAAACGGGAAGTCTGGGGTTTGGGTGTATCCAAATAGGGAAAAGGATCAATAGAGTAAGATTCCTTATCTCATTCAGTTTGTTAAATACTTTAGTTTAAAGTTATCTTAACCAAATTTGCAAGGTTTTTATATTCCAAAGTATTCTCAAATCGAAGGTAAGGAAGCCCTAAAAACCAGATCCTGTTGATGAAAAAATAGCTCTTAAGACACCAAATTAGAATCACATTACTTCCAGTACAACCTTTAAAATCTCAAACTTTTCCAAGTTGCCATCCCCTCAAAAAAATCTTTATCATTATCTCAAGGATATTATCCAATGCTAGCAAACAGAAATTTTTGAGTTCTTATTATTCGAACTTCGAATTTTTAAGGTTCTTATTTGTCGAAAATCGAATCTTCGAAGTTCTTATTTAAAAAAAAATTCGTTGTGAATTATTATTTTTCGAGTAATTTGTAATTTTAAAGAACATTCCTACTAGTTTTTATGATTAAGATAATCACTGTGATGAAATTGCATTCCTTAAATGTTCATGCTTTAAAAACAGCTAGTTTAAAAATAAATTAAAAAATAACGGACTTTCTTATTTTGAAATTTTAAAAAAATACCATGCGAAAATTTTGAAATTTTTTTGTTTGTAACGGACTCTGTTCTCTTTGCTAATATTGGGATATTATATTCTCACAATGACTCACAAGTTTTGCTCCTGTTATCAGAAACGATGCACATAAGATACCAAATAATAGAAACAAACAATAAACGAGAAAGAAAATGCTGAAGACTAAAGAAAGGAAAGAAAAAAAGTTGCTAGCCTCAATTTATATTTTCATCACGTCACATTCTCACTTTTCAAGTCTTGTAAGGTTTCTTCAATTTCATTATCACTTGACCGTGCTCGAATGTAATTTGAGAATCGATAAAATAAACTCCAACTTCCAATGCCTGCATCGTCAATTCTTAACTTTATGCACCATAAAACTATTATACACAGTAACAGTAAAATGCCGTAAATGAATATCGAGAAATATCCAATAAATGATCCACCCGATTTTAAACTATATCCACAACAGAAAGAATTCAGACATGGCATTCCATCTGCCTATATTTCACGACTGTTGATCTAACAATGTTTAAGACATTCTCGGTTCCTTATTCTTAATTCCATTAGAAATGCGCATTTTTATTAATCTAGAATTCTTGATAGGACACGCTTGTCTGCTGCTCATATTTCAGTTTCAGGCACTCAGAACAATTCCAATGAGCAATTGTCGTGTCTTTTTCATATTTTTATGATAATAAAAAATTAGGTTTTAAAATATCATGTAGGGCGTCATAAAGACATACAGGCATAATTATTTTTTTATGATGTCATGAAAAATTAAAATTGTCGATAAAGCAGTCGCGTGAAATATGATATAATAATTAACATCTATTAATGCACAGCAATTACAGTAATTTATACTACATCTTTTGTTGCCTCTATCTTTGGATTATGATTTATTGTGTTGAGCATAAAGTGAGGAGTGGGATTTGAGAACAATTAAAGCTCACTAGCTGATTATTTTGTAAGAATATGGGAAAAAGTGTTTATGTGCTACATGATTCATTAAAACATGATAATAGTCGAAGGGGTTTGAGTTTTGTAGATTAAGAGCTTAATGCTTTTTAGTGATTTCATGAAATAGGAACTACACTGTTGTGTGAAAGGATTAGGGATGGACACCTAGACTGTGGATAAACAATAAATCTGAAGCCATGACCCAAGGGGTAAACAACAAGATGGGAAGAAAAGTTGTAATCAGAATTTTAAGTCGACTTTTTAAACGTAGAGACTTGATCAAGTTCAAGTCGACATCTAGCTTTTGTATGGATAGAATTGATGAGAATTTTCTTTCAAAGCTTTTTCCCAACATGTTGTTTTCCCCTTATTATAGACGCCATTTTGATTAATTTTTGTACACTAATTCCTCAAAAAAGTTTATATTCAATTCAATTTTAAATTGATAAAGCAGCTTAGGTGTGTCTGAAGAGATTGTGAACCAATGCCTTAAAGATTGCCTTCTTTCAAAATTAAAGAATTCTATCAAAAATCAGAATCAGAATGTTCCTTGACAATCATTGAAAGCCACTCGATTGCTCAGCAGCTGAACTTTATAGCATGCTGAAAAGCTTAATAATTATAATTCAACAGAAGATCCAACTCAATATTTTAATCATTCATAATTTAGTTGAATTCTATATTTTCCATGAATAATTAATGATGCTTTGCTCTCTTTAAAATAAGACACTTCAAGTAAGAATTATAACTTTAAAGTATAAGCTTAGATTATGTTCATTAAAGTGAGCAAAGCTTAAAATTATATGTTGTGTTCTCAGGTGTCCATTGGTGTATATAATATTTTCTACATGAGCTAGCACAGTAAACTGCACAACAAATTAAACTTTTCCAACTCAAACTCATCCACGTGCAGATTAAATATTCCTTTAAAGAGCTTTTCCGAGTATTTTGTCTTCAAAAATAAAAACAGAAGTAAATCTTCATGTTTTTCCCATTTCGCCTTGCTCATTTGACATTAAAGTCAACAAAAGAGAGGAATAAAAATAAATTTGGAATCATTGGTATGACATCCTATGAATTTTGAATAAACAACCTTAAAGGAAATTTAATTTTGGGAACTTTTAAATTTAATACATAAATTTATAAGCCACGTACTCTATTAAATATTGATTTAGGAGAAAAAAAGTAGTATCTTAATACAAAGAACAAACAGAGTTAAAAGATATTGACTTTATAGACATAAAATTGGTATTTTATCACTAGCCTTAATGTATCAGTTATAGCTTTTGAAGTGTACTTATTTATTCATGATATTGGATAGACTTATCCAAAAAAATTCATAATTTTTCATTCGATTTGATCAAAAAACAGGAAAAAATTATTCCCATAATCATCATTACAATTCCTTTTGTACATAAATTCTAGTACCGTGGCGATTAAAATCAATACGACTATAGTCAAACATTGACATTAATATACAACCTTTACAGTCAGTCTTTATGTTCGGCTAGTAATTATTTATTGATTATGGTCCGGAACTTAGCTCGGTGCATGCAATTGAATAAAAAGTCCGTTATTTTAAATTTTTGAGTTGATGTTTCCCTGAGATTTAGAGGGTTGTCAACCAAAAATTTTGTAAACCAATAAGCTATTTTATGATTTTTTGCTTAATTTACATTACTTGAATAGTTTAAATGCTTGAAAAGTATTCAATCTATTGAAAACTATCGTTCAAAACATATCTAGATGTTCAAAAGCATACATTCACTTGAAATTTTTGATTTTATTACTTTCGAAATTCCAAAACTTTAAACCTCGAATTTTCTAAATTAAAAGAATAAATTTCGATATTCGAAGATTAGAATCTAGTCATGACTAGCTGCTGATATACAAAAAGTGTGAGAAACTATAATAAAGGCTAAAGCTATTTCTTGTAGCTTACAAAATTTAGTTGCCATCGTACATTAAAGCTTGTAAGTCCATAAAAAAAGCAAAGGTAGGAAAGGATTATAAAAAGTTTTTCTTGTGATTGTATTTCCACCAGAATTACAAATTAAAGGATGAGTCCCTTGAAGTTATATTATTCACCGATTTCGACGCCTGTAAGTTTAGACAATAAAAAGTTCCCTTTTTTCATCCGCTTTGGAAAAATTTGCAATTTAAATAATTTCAAACTTTTCTTCCTTAACGCTCTCGACATTCTTATAAAAGTCTCGTGCTGTCTTGATGGCAATCCGTAACATGAACGTTGATGTTGAGGTAATTTTAATGTTGATTAATTATTTCTTGTTCCTTAAAGTTTGGCAGATTGGGCTTCTCTCTTTATTGTGTGCCTCCCCCACCCCAAACTCTGCTTCTTTTACATCACTTTTATCTCGAATTAAATTACATTTCGAGGCAAAAAAGAGATCTCATAGAGTGATGTATAAAGCCTAAAACAATTTACAACATCAGAAAAGAAAAAAAAATTCTTTTTATGATTTTCTTCAATGAAGCATCTCCAAAAAGAAATTCTTTTTCACATAAAATGAACGAGTTGTGGGAATGGCTGCAGGTATTAACGCTTTAAGCGCACATAAATTTTTTAAAATTTTGTTATCTTTTGTGAGATTATTCACACGATGTTATGCTACATGGATAAGTGTATTGCTTGAAGATTGTTTGAATAAATTTAAATCCTAGCCTTCTCATTCCTTTACTATATATCCCTACCTGTATGTTGTATGGTAAGTGTTAGTTGTAATTAAATGAATTAAAAGCCAATTTAGACTCCAGGCGTGTTATTATTGCACACAAGAGACGATGAATACAGGCTCTTTAGCTCAACAGTCATTAAAATCAATTACGTCACTTAAAGTAATTTCGGTATTTAGGTTTATTTTAATAACTCATTCATTCGCAGCTTTACCATTTAAAATTAGCGAAGTTAAAAGCTTTCATTGTTGGAAAAGCAAACGTTTTTAAATATTAATGAATGGTTCTGGAGTTGAATAATAGCTAAACTGTTTAGAAAAGTGCTTTAACTTTGGGTCGTATTCGAAGGTTTCAATCCTAGTTCTTATAACGAAATGCTTCTATGACTTATCAAGTACTTCACTAAATACACCATTGTTCATACAAATACTTTAAAAGTTATAGGAATCCTCATTTAAAAAGGATGTAATATCCAAACTACCCTTAAATCAATAAACCACCTCCAAACTAAATGAAAATCAAAAATTGATGCAACCCACTCCAAAACTATGAACTCAATTAAAACTGAATAAATTTTAATCAATATCACTGAATAATCCCGAAGCCTCATAAACCCTTAAAACACAAATTTCATAATGAAAATTCACAATATTCCAATCATAATGTTTTGACATCATTTTATGGTTTGAAACTACATCTTGCTACAGGTGTAGAAAATTTTGTGGTTTTGATGGTTTTAGAGTTTTACAAAAAACAGTATGAAGTTGTGGATTATAAATGAATAGAAGGAACACGATGTTAAGAACAATTCAAGATCATGATAATAAGACAATCGAAATAATAAGACAAAGGATAATTTGAGGCATCTTACAGCAAAATAAATTGACTTTGTCTTTTGTTTTACGAGGAAATGAAATCCTCCCAGTCTTTTGTTTTCTCACGCACTTTTGTTTTTGGGGGGTTGTTATTAAGTTACGTCTTGCTGCAATTTGGAAATTATATATTGTTGGGTTACTTATCAGACGTCACTTATTAACACTCCCCCCCCCCTCTCCCCTTCATTACTTGTCACAAAAGATAAAGCCACCGCACCAAAAAATCAATAAAAGTAGAAAAAAAAATCAACAAAAAGTTTTACTAATTAAACTTTTATGGCTTACAATAATAATTAATTGCCTCTAAGGCAAGGAAATTCCCGTACTCGCATTTAAATAAATTTGTGTGCTATAAAAATAAGCAAGAAGAAAATTAATTTTTTCCAACAGGTTGTTACATTAAATCTTGGCACAGGCGAACATAAGTCGGCTGAATTCGCAAAGATAAACCCTCGCATGTGCGTTCCAACAATTGTCGACGACAATTTCGTTTTGTGTGAGTCGAAAGCAATTTTAATGTATTTGCCACATAAAATGGGAATGTGTAAAGGACGTGCATTCTATCCGAAATGTGCACGACAACGTGCCTTGGTTCATCAACGTCTACTATTTGATTCCGTTGATTTCTACTCAAACATCAGTGATCTGGTTAATCTGTCGTTCAGTGATGAACCGATTTTGACAGTCAAGCACAAAGCAGCAATTGTTGGAGCTCTAAACGTCATGGAAACACAATTCTTAAATAATGGTGACTTTTTTGTTGGCAACAGTGCAACAATTGCTGATTTTGCATTCTGCTCATCTGTTGCTGCTCTAATTGCAATTGGATTCAACATCAATGACGATTATCCGAAACTTTCTGAATGGTACGAACGAATGGGAACCCTCAAGGGATTTAATGAGCTTTCAGCTGGAGCTCAACAAACCGGAGCTATGGTTCGAAAGGGATTGAAAAATTCTTTTGATGATTTGTAAAGCTATTGCATTAAATAAAAATTGAGATTCTGACTCAGTACTAATAAAATTAAGGTTTTTTTCATTTATTTCTTAAATGCTGATTCATCACAATATGGGAAATACATAAATATATATATAGCAACAACATTTATCACTGTATAATTTAAAGCTATAGTCGCTCATATGGCACATTAACATTATCTTGATCCGGAATTGTCAGTCTAACGCCTGGCTGCATGGTCATTAAGGAATTAATAATCCATTGCTTCCCAAATTGCACACGTCTTTCCTCTATCCTCTCTAATTTATATAATGAGACCATTGCAACCCAACAGTAGCACTTGATAATAATAAAAATAATCAGCGGTATTGCCGAGAGAATGCACATTGTGTTGACAGACTTTGCCGCTATCACCGGCAACAAAATAATTAAAATCTCAATTCCAATGCCTTGATGGAAAAAGTAGAACCACATGATGAACTTTGTTCGCTTCTGTAAATAATGAAGTTCATAAAATATTCAGTTATTCATTATGCGCGATATGTATGAGATAAGACAGTAATTCTTTTATGATTTTCTTCGGCTTTTATGTGAATTAATGAGTTTAGATGTAATACATAGGAATTTGTTCCATTAAAAGAATCATTTCATATAAATTGATGAACATTAAATAATATTTCATTGATTCAAATCAACAAGCGCGTGGCTCATTCCCGAGCAAATGCATTGTTGTGTGGCAATAAATTTATTATTTACCAAGAAAGAGCAGCTTATGGGAATTTTCTTGGGGATCGTTTACAAATAACATCAATAAAAACATTAGATTCCCTCACCCCTTTATGTGACAGTTTTAACAAAGGATATTTGGTTCTTAAACCCAGTTCTTGTGTTACCTAATAAGTGAACAACCCCATATACATTAATAACAAATCCTGTACCCCATAAAAGAACAACCCCAAAACTGCATTGTAGGCAATTTAAACTAGCTTTTCTGTACAGTATTGCATGATTGACCTTCCCGCTGATAACAAACAACAATGAGGTAATATGCCACATGGGTTGAATGCCTACAAACTGTTTACAGACAAAGCAAAATTCCTCAAAATCAGCATTTTAAACATGATGATTTCGCGATATGATGAAATGAGAGATGAACTTACAATAATTAATCCACATGTTGATAACATGATTGCAGCAGTCGAGAAAACGACAAGGAAGTGTAGGAAAGCTGTATGAACTTCTGTAAAAATAAATGTATCAAGGTCACATAATGTTTTCATTGTCGTACGCGAGGGACACAATAAAAAGAAGCAACTGGTTGGAAATTTTTATTTTTCCGAGAACTTTAAGGCAGCAATTTATAGAATATTTATGTAGACAACATTTGCAACATTATTTGAGGCTCAGATTGCAGCTTTTTTGCGTCACTCATAAAAGTTATTTACCGATTTTTATGTCAGTTGGAAGTACTATATACTCGTCGTTACTGTGCTCATGTTTCATATTTGATCGTATCGCAGTTATTAAGAATATTAATATATTTTCAATTAAGTATATCGTCAATATCACATATCCGCCTGTTTTGAGATCAATGCCTAGGAAAGATTTCATGCTTAACAAACTTTTTTATCACTAATCAATTATTTATTTTTATGAGGAGAAAACGATCGCGTCTGGTTTGTTTGCGAAAAATTTACTACTAAGTATATTAAATGCTCTTTTAAATGTATTATTAACATTATTGTAATTCACACTGTCGTGAAATCATACAACGACATGAGCTTCTCACACTCTCAATGAACAGTTTTGCTACAGTAAATGAAGGCAAGTAATGTGATGAGTAATTTTGCGCATTTGTAGTGTCTACTGAGTTGGTTCGCTCGCTTAATATCATTCAAGTATATTTTAATTATCGTAATATTACCCGAGTGGACAAAGTACTAGTTAAAAGCTTGCCATTGACTTGCCTGTTCATGGCGAGTAAGTATCCATTGACGTGCCTTTGTAACTAGACTTAGGGACGACTAATGACATATTTTGCGCTTTCCATTTAACTGGACATAGGAATTGCACATATGTCTTGTTATTGTCCAGTTACAAAAAATTCGAAATAAAATAAATAACACGTGTCTTCTTGTCCATTTTTTTGCTTATGTAAAATTTTTATTATTGTATTAGTGTAATTAATTAATTAAACTACACTGACACTTATGAAAAATCTCTAGTAAAAATTGAGTCTCGAACACTTGCGCGTGAAATAATTACATATATTTACTTAAAAGTTTCATACAAATTTGGTGAGACCTTATATAAGTGATTTCTGCAAGCGCTTGTGAAGTATATGGTCACAAAAGTAAGGAAAATTATTTTTGAGTTTCGAGCACTTGATTGATTAGCATGAATGTCCAGTTAAAGTCTAGTTAATGTCGAGTTCTCTATGTCGTATAAATTTCGTCAAGTTAAAAGACTGTTAAATGATTGTCCAATAATGGACTTTAACTGGCTGTGTCCACCCGGGTTAAGATCTGAAGATTGAATCTTTTAAAGCTAATTTGTTAAATAAAGAAAGGGGAGATGAAAAACGATAGCAAGTTAATTTTCCAGTGGACTGTATTTCAATTCCAATAATAAAAATAATTACAAAAGAAAATTCTATTTGTTCACAATTTCAAATTATACGTGATCAATTTCCAAATTGTCAATTTCAACTTAATATCAACTCAATTCCAAGCCTCCTTAAATCATGATTCCATTCATCATTCTGCCGTCTCGATAGGAATTTTACAGATATAATTCACATGTCGCTTAACTTCGCTTGAAGATGTCTTTACAGTAACGGATCTAATTTGATCATCTCTTCCCTTATGTAGAATAACAATCCTTCCAATCTTCCACTTCATTGATGGTACATTCGAATACATGATGAGAACCAAATCATTCAAATAATATTGAACCTTTTTTGTTGAATCTTTTGGTCTTATTTGAGCGTTGATCAAATCCTCATTCCAAAACTTCCAAAATAACTGCTGTGCTTGTTGAATCATATCCCATCGTTTCAGTTGACATTGTTGTCTATCTGTAAAGTCACGTTCCAAACGACTGTTCAACGGCCGTCCAATCAAGAGATGGCCAGGTGTAAGAGCCTCAAAATCATTTGGATTATCGCTTATAAATGTAATGGGTCGGGAATTCAAAACTGCTTCAATTCTACATAAGAGAGTTGAGAATTTTTCATAGGTCATTACTCGATCTGTCATAACTCTTTTTAAATGATGCTTCATTTGCTTAATTCCATTTTCCCAAAATCCTCCCATATGAGTTGCTCGAGGTGTAATAAAATGTCATTTTATATTTTTGTCATTGTAATATTCTTGAATTTGTTCTTCCAAATCTTTAGCCAATTTCTTGAATTCATTGCCTGTACCTTCAAAACATGTTGCATTGTCTGAGTAGATATCAGTTGGAAGTCCTCTGCGTGATATAAATCTATCGTATGTGCCAATGAAAGCCACTGTTGTAAAATCCGTTAATAATTCTAAATGAATTGCCTTTGTAGACATACACTTGAATAATGCGATATAGGACTTCATTGCAGTTGTATTACGAACCTTCCCAGCTTTAATTAATAAAGGTCCAGCATAATCGATAGCTACCTTTTCAAATGCATTTGATTGATTTACTCTTTCTGGAGGTAAATCTCCCATAATTTGTTTACGACACTTAGGAGATGCTCGAAAGCATTTGATGCACTTACTGATGATTTTATGAATCATCACTTTTACTTGCACAGGCCAATAAACTTGTCTCACAAAAAATAATGCTGAAAGTTTTGTCGAATGCAAATTATCAAGATGAATCTGACGAATCAAATTTTAAACAAATTGACACTTAGGCATGATGATTTGATGCTTATTTTCACATGTTAAACTTTCACATTCACCAATGCGACTTCTTGTTCTCATAATACCATAACTATCCAGAAATCGTGACTAGATGACAATGAAACTTCTTTTCCTTTTGTCAACTTCTTCAATTCTTGAGGGAAAAAATGTAATTGTATAAGATGAATTACTTTGTTTTTACCTAGAAGCTCATAATCTGCATGTTGACGTTCGATTTTGATCTTTGCTTTCTTCTTCCATTTATCTATTATTCTTAATAAAGATGCAAATATTTTAAATAGCTTTGTTGGATGAAAATATCTATTTTCAATGTAGTGAATGATGTGATTCAACGATGGAAGAGTTACAAGTAAAACTCGACAAAATTCCTTTTTATACTCGGAATTATTCAAATCAAGGTTTAATAAAGAATGTGGCCAGCACTCTACATCTTCTTGAAGATAATCTTGACCATTCCACCACAATTCACAGTTATTCAATTCTTTTGCTGTTGCACCTCGTGAAATTAAATCTGCAGGATTACTTTTTGTGCGAACATGACTAAAATTGAATTATTCTACTTCTACTTGAATGTCGGCTACACGATTTCCAACAAAAACTGATAACTTAGCAGGTTCTGACTTGACCCAATGAAGTGCAATTAAAGAGTCACTCCATAAATAAACATCATTTGCTGGAATTCCTAATACTGTGCTTTGATGCCTTTGTAGAAGCATCACAAAATCCATGTAATTGAATATTTACTGGATTTACACAAATGATTTGTCGATCAATTTTAATTTGATTAACCAATATCAGTGATGTTTCAAATTTTTTCCATTCCTCACATCAGGTAATGCTGACTTCCAATCAAGATGTAGTGACCACAGCTTCTTCATAAATAATTTTGCAGTTAATATAATTGGACCAAGCCAACCGATTTGATCGTAAATACTGGCAATACATGAAAGAACTGATGACATTGTTAACGACTTTTTATCTTTGAAATTCAACTTGAATGTCAATGTATCTGAAGATATGTTCCAAATTATACCCAAAACTTTTATTTCGCTTGATTCTTGAATCTTTTCAAGATGACTCGTAGGAATTGAAGAGAGTACTTCTTGACTATTTGAAACCCATTTACGTAGAGACATTCCCGCCTTTTCGAATACTTCACAATTTCGGTTCGAAGGATCATGAAAAACGATAGCAAGTTGATTTTCCAGTGGACTGTATTTTAATTCCAATAATAAAAATAATTACAAAAGAAAATTCTATTTGTTCACAATTTCAAATTATACGTGATCAGTTTCCAAATTGTCAATTTCAACTAAATATCAAATCAATTCTAAGCCTCCTTAAATCATGATGAATTCCATTCACAACTATAAAAAGGGGTAATCAACAACGATAAAAAAAAAATTCAAATTCAAAATGCCCGTTAATTTATTTTTTTAATTTTTTTTATCTCGACTATCATAATAAATATAGACAATCTTATTAATACATAACTAGATATTCATAGCAAACATGAATAATTAAGTCTTATCTTTATTTTGTTACAAACCTTAAATTATTCATCATCTACCTTCTAATATTAAATTCCCAGAATAAAGTTCATTATTCAGACACAACTAAAACGAAGACAAGCTGTCTATCACAACATCCCACCAGACAAAACAAATAAACAAGTCGCACCAATTTTAGAAATTCCAGCTAAATAGAGAAATAAAATTTCATGGGATTTCCCGCATTGCGTAATTGCTCACAAAATAATATTTTCTGCTAGAACAATTTTTTACTTCCATTAAAACGGTAGAGTGAATTTAAAAATATACAAAACGAGGACCTGGCAGATGACTTTTTCAATTGTAAGCACCTCAGAAACTTCTCTTTATGTGGTTTTACTCTGGATGCTTAACTTTTTCTACTCATTTGTAAATGAATTGCATTTTAATTAATTTTAAAAAAGTTTCTTTCACTCATGCTGAATACATAGCTTGCTGTGTCTTTCAATGTCTGACAAAGTTTACAAAACACTCTTGATGTAAGTTTAATTTTTTTTTTGTTTTAAAAATGCATGAATACGTGACAAAAAAAATGAAAAGTTTAAGTTGGACAGCTGCCGTGTTGAGTCTCTTGTTTTTGAGAGTCTCAGTCAGTAACCTCAAATAACTAGTGATCACCGACCAACCCCCTCCTGAATTAATCTTTCCATCAATCCATAAGTCATTATTAAAATTGATATAAAACATGGATTTTGAAATACTGTATAAAACTTTATAAAACAAACTTACTTACTTATTTCGCTGGCCGTACAGATCAATTGTATTCCATGGCTCAGAACCTTACAACACTACTGGTCATATTAGCGTCTTGTACATCACTAGTTTGGCATTTCTCGCTATTCTCTTTGATGTTAGTAAATGTCTAATTGCAAAATATGCACGCTGCCACCATTAGAAACTTTGTTTTGTCTTCATTCACACGAAACCCGATCTTGTTAGCTTCTCTTCCCATTTTGGAGTAAGCGTCGGTAACGGATCTGATGTTACGTCCAACAATGTCTACGTCGTCGGCAAAACCAAGAAGCTGAGTTGACTTTGTGAAGATTGTACCATTTAATTCCAGAAGATTTCCTGAAAACTCCTTCAAGCGCAATGTTAAAAAGCTTAGTTTACAGTTCATCTCCCTGCCTCAGACCAATCCTGCATTCAAACAAACTTGATGTTGAGCCTTGTACTTTGACACTACACATGAATTTCGCTAAGGTTGCTTTGAGCAATCTTATCATTCTATGCGGGAAAT